CTCTCGGACGAACACCAATCGTATCTTGAGCTGCATCAAGCGTTTCACGCTTAAAGGTATCCCACAGAAGAAGGGGGTCTGTCAGACTGCCAAGCATTTCGAAACGATCAGAGATTGCCTCAGCAAACCCGTGGGCACACTCCCCCTCCCTCAGCCTGTCCAAATGAAACACCCTAGGGTGATCATTTGACCGCTGGGGAGTTTTGAAGTGGACCCGGAGGGTAGCCACAACCAATCTGTGGTCAGTACCACAGAACTCAGCACTCCTGTACACCCTGCAATTCTGAAGGATCCTCCAACGAGTGCTAACAAGTATGTGGTCGATCTCCTTGGCTGCATTACCCGCATCACTGTACCATGTCCAGCGATGTGGGTCTGGGCGCTGGTACCAGGAGCCAGAAATCCTCAATTTCTGGGACCTAGCAAAGGCTATTCTCGCTACCGGCATCAGCTCCTGAACCATGGGGACCGACAGACATCTCATAGCCAGCTCGATCACAGCCAGATACCACATTGAAGTCGCCCAGAACAATGCGAATATCTCGCCGGGGACATCTGTCTACCACAGATGTAAGTTTGGCGTAGAACATCTATTTCACATCAAGTTTACAAACATCGGTAGCAATAAGAGACATGAAGCCAAAAGATAGCTTCAATCTCAATACCATTATACGCTCATCAACAGGAGTAACCTCTACTACCGAGGGCTGGAGTCTACTGGAGATGGCAATGGCTACTCCCTGGAGATGGTGGCCGTCGCTGCGGCCCGACCAGTAATAGGTGTAGCCACCTACACAGGTCATGCCGCTGCCAGGCCTCCTTACCTCCGAGAGAGCAGCCACTTCAACTCTCAGCCACCCCAGTTCCCTCGACAGTAGAGGCAACCGATTATCTTGACACAAAGAACGGATGTTCCATACCCCCACCCTGACTTCCCGCCTGAGGTTCAGCCTCTGGCAGTCGCTCCGGATGGATGCCACCTCTGCCACCCCTACCGACGCTGCCCCATATAAAAGGCGATGGTGGGCTGCGTGCCCCATCATCCACCTGTGGGGTTCCCGAGGGCTTTCCCCCACAAGCTTCACTCTGGGCTGGCGGCCACCAGAGCGCAGGCGAGACGAGTAGTTCCCATTCCCAGCCTGCGCTCCAGCAGTCGCCCTCCCAGCAGGGCCCACAGTCTGCCTCACTTGCTGGGTGGGAGGAGCTTTTCCCCTCCTCCCAGCCTCTCCATATATAGGAAGCGCTGCCGATTGGTTATATCTGGGGGGAGGAGGACTGGCAAGGCCCACCTACCCCGAGCCTCCCATTAACCCCAGGAGGCTAGGGGGCAGGAGTTGGTACAGGGCCAGGGCGTGTCCACACGCCGGTGGGCCATGACCCTGAACCTCTGGGGCCTCCTGCTGCTCCGAGATCCCCCTCAGTTTAGCCTAGAACCGCAAGGTACCCAGTTTCCATGGGAGGCCACGAGGAGGCACTGCAGGAAGTCTCGATGATGGAGAGGCTATGCACTGGCAGGGGTAGGCTTATGCAGAGCTGTAAGCGAGAAGGCATGCAAAAGCTCTTAACACTAACTAGACTACCACTCCATCGCTTCACACCATCCTGCGCATGAAGTAAATAGATACGTTATGACGTGAAGCTTAAACATTCATTTCTAACCTAACACCAAAACTTGTGATTACTGTATATTTCTCAAAGAGGCATAACACAATACTGTAGAAGCAATGGTTAATGACCTATATTGTCAAATTTTTCGTACTATATTTTCAATAAATATAGGATTTACAGATCAATTTCTGGTTTATTACCTAATATAGAAAAGGTTTTACGAATCTATGCCCTATAGTTGTTATTTTCTTTAATTTTCATCGGTTACTCGTGTTAGGTTGTGTAGATTGAAAGAGACACGTTATAAAACTAGTGTTGAGTGTGTGTGTGTATATATATATATATATATATATATATATATATATATATATATATATATATATATATATGTATATTATATATATATATATATATATATATATATATATATATATATATATATATATATATATATATATATATATATATATATATATATATATATATATATATATATATATATATATGTATATATATATATATATATATATATATATATATATATATATATATATATATATATATATATATATATATACATATACATATACATATATATATATATATATTATATATATATATATATATATATATATATATATATATATATATATATATATATATATATATATATATATAATATATATTTATATATATAATATATATATATATATATATATATATATATATGTATATATATAGGTAGGTTAAATATTTTGGCTAGATAATAAAATTGGCGCGTCTGCATTTGCGTGTGTTGCACACACAAAAACACACACACGGTGCATATGTATGTATACGTATATAGCCAATACATATCTGTGAAGAATGTGCGCAATACACTTTTTTTTTT